TCAACATGCTTTTTTAAAGGTAGAATTTTTTTTAAAAAGCAAGTCACAGAACAATACATACAATAGGATTCAGTTTATGAAGAGCTCAAAAATAGAAACCACTTCCCCCTCCCCCTCCAAAAAAATGCTTTTTAGGGAAACAGACACACATGTTCAAACTACAAAGAAAAGCAAGGAGATGAAACACTAAATTCAGGGGAGTGTCCCCTCTGAGAGTCGGGGTGATGCAGTGTGTGAAGGGCATCCAGGTTGCTTCTGAGGTGCTAGGAATGCACTCTTTCTCACTAAGAGGGGTGTGGTTTTTTATTCTTTACATTGTAGCTAAACATTTTAGATCTGCTTATGTGTATATGATTTGTATCACGTGCTTAGGGATGGGCCCTTGCATGCAGTTAGTATTCAGTATCCAGTTTTTTTAAAGATATTTAAATTTCCTCCTCAATTCTGTGATTCCAACATTAAATATTTTTCAAAACCTCTGGAGTATAAAAATACAGACACATGAGGGCACTCTCGTCAATCAGTTAAAGGGAAAAGATAGAACCTGTGAAAATGAAGAACCTCACCACCTTTTATTGGTGGTATTGGGGCCTTTAGTTTCTTTCTCAGCTCTCATTTTGGACCTTTCCAAATAACAGTCTCACCAAAACAGAATTTCCCAATACCTTGAGGCCATGGAACTGAAGCTACATTTTAGAACAGTTAAGGTAGCTTTTCAGCATCCCTCAGTCCACCTAACTTGGCCTTCCAGGTCCAGCTCTGAGCACAGACTATACTATGTAAGTATAGGCATCATTTCTCTTTCTCTTTAGCATTTACACAAATGAGTATTACACTTCTAGGTATATACCCAAGAGAACTGAAAGCAGGAATTGGAACAGGTAACACTAATGTTCATAGCAGCATTGTTCACAGTAGTCAAAAAGTGGAAACAACCAAGTGTCTGTCGGTAGATGAATGGCTATAAATACCATGGAATATGATTTAGCCTTAAAAAGGAGTGAAGAACTGATACTTGCCACCACAAGGATGAGCCTTGAAAACATTGTGCCAAGTGACATTATCCAGACAGAAAAGAACAAGTATTATATGGTTCCAGTTCTATGAGGCATGTCTAATATGTAACTTCATAGGGACAAAACACAGAATAGAGGTTAGCTGGGCCTGGCAGGAGGTGGGAATGGGGAGCTATTATTTAATGAGTACAGAGTTTCTATTTGGGACAATGAATAAGTTCTGGAAGTGGATAGTAATAATGGTTGCACAACAATGTGAACATACTTAATGTCACTGAATTATACACCTAAAAATAGTTAAAATCATAAATGTAATGTTATATATATTTTGCCACAGTAAATTTTTTTAAAAGAGTGAACATTTGAGGTATGTGAAAAATAGGTCATCGAGCTTTCTTTACTTCACCTTTTCTTTCTCTCTCTCTTTTTTAAAACATGTTCTGGCATTTTGAATTGAGGGAAAGGTAAATTATCCTAATTAAAATCAGAAAAAAGTAATAAGAAGTCTTACAGAATACTCCTTAGTGACTGCAGCTCCATGGCTGCTTCTGCTGTTGAAATTAGGAAGGACAGCTTCTCATGGCAGGAAAACAGATACTCTTGAATATGTATGAAATGTGTTTCTGGAAAAGACTTAATGGAGTGTGTGTGTTATAGAATTTTCTGACTCTTTTTATAAAAGTTGTGGATTATAAATTTGAACCTCTCTAAGGAGTTATTAAAGCTTTTCAAATTACTTTTTCCTTCAGATGCATCTGTGGGAGACCAGGTGTATGGCATTTATAAGCCCCATATTGATTTATGGGGTTCTGTTTCACAAAGTGTATGTAAGCACTCAGTAAAGCATCTGTTTGTTACCAAGAGTGGGAAAAATATATGCATTTCCATAACCATTTCTAGAAGAATTAAACCTACAGGCAGTATAATTATTACTGTATTACTTAAAAGATAGGCAGTTTTATATTACCCTAAAAACTGTATTTTCACAAATGAGCATGCGTGCCTGCTTGGCATTGGCACTACAAGCAGTGCTGCGCTGAACCAGTCCTGACGCTCCTAACCGGTCTTGCAGTGTCACCTCCAGCCATTCTTCACGTTACAGCTGGGCATGGGGAGGTAGTGTGTTTAAAGGCTGCTCCCACTAAAACACGCTCTGAGGTATGGGGTTTAGGAGTCCACTTTTTAATCCCTTTCTCGGGTTGTTCTCAGAACCATCTCACTTGTAGATTTTAAGCCAGTGGAACAGAATGCCAGGTCACATTTGCTTTTCAAAGAGTGGAAATATCTCTGTCTTTTTAAAGTGACCCCTTATTTTAAGCATTTAAATGATTAGATTGTAGATAACTTTTAAACTGTATGCTTTAAACAGTTTAGTCAGTTTAGTAGCATTAAGTATATTAACATTGTTTCACAGCAGCTCTCCAGAGATTTTTCACCTTGCCAGGCAGAAACTTGGTACTCATTTATCAAGGACTCCCCATCTCTCCTCCCTGACCCCTAGCCCCTGGCAACCACCGTTCTACTTTCTGTCTAAAAAGTGAATTTAACTACGCTGGGTACCTCATATAAGGGAAGTTGCACTGTATTTGTCTGTTTGTGTCTGGCTTATTTCACTGAGCATGTTGTTCTCAGGATTCATCCATACTGTAGCATGTGACAGGATTTCCTTCCTTTATAAGGCTGATCAGTGTTTTCTTTCAGGGGGTGGGTTAGTTTGTTTGTTTGTTTGTTTGTTTAATGGAGGTACTGAGGATGGAACCCAGGACCTTGTACATGCTAACTCCTAAGCACGCACTCTACCAGCAAGCTATACCCTCCCCCTGATTAATGTTCTGTTGTGTGTATGTGTCACGTTTTCTTTACCTGTTCACGTCTCAGTGGACACTTGGGCTGCTTCCACCTCTTGCCTGTTGTGAAACATGCTGCTCTGAACATGTGTGTTCAAAACCCTGCTTTCAGTTATTTTGGATGTATACCAGAAGTGGGATTGCCGGATCATATAGTAATACTATTTTTAATTTTTTGAGAGACCACCACACGTTTCCCTATTGGCTGCACCGTTTTACATTTCCACCAATAAGGGTTTTGTGTGTCTGTGTGTGTCTGTGTATTTATATATGCCATATAAGAATATTGAACATTACTATTTTATCAAGTGATTTATGGGTATTACTTTTTGTTTGTTTTTTAAGTTTTTTTTAGCCTTTTGACCCTCTTCACCCATTTCTCCCACTCCTTAACCCCTCCACCCTTGCCTCTGGTAACTATCAGTCTATTCTCTGTATCTATGAGCTTAGTTTTGTTTGTTTTACGATTCCACGTATAACAGAGATCATATGGTACTTGTCTTTCTCTGTCTTATTTCACTTAACGTAATGCCCCCGCGGTCCATCCATGTTGTCACAAATGGCAAGATTTCATTCTTTTTTATGGCTATGTAGTAGTTTCTTATGTACAGTTGATCTTTGTACGTTTGTCCAGTGGTGGACACTTAGGTTATTTCCATATTTTGTCTATTGTAAATAATGCTGCAGTGAACATGGGGTACAGATAGCATTTTGAGTTAGTGTTTTCACTTTCTTTTGGGTAAATACTCAGAAATGGAATTGGTGGATCATATGGTAGCTCTGTTTTTAATTTTTTGAAGAACTTCCATGCTGTTTTCCATAGTGGCTGCACCAAGTTACATTCCCACCAAAAGTGCACAAGGGTTCCATTTTCTCCATATCCTCACCAACACTTGTTATTTGTGGTCTTTTTGATAAAAGACATTCTAACAGGTGTGAGGTGATACGTCGTTGTGGTTTTCATTTGCATTTCCCTGATGATTAATGATGTTGAACATCTTCTCATGCACCTGTTGGTCTGTCTTCTTTAGAAAAACGTCCATTCAGCTCCTCGTCCATTTTTTAATTGGACTGTTTTGTTGTTACTGAGTTGTGTGGGTTCTTTGTATATTTTGGTTATTTACCCCTTCTCATATATACAATTTGCAAATATTTTCCCCCATTCGGTAGGCTGCCTTTTCATTTTATTGCTGATTTCATTTGCTGTACAGAAGCTTTTAAGTCTGATGTAGTCCCACTTGTTTATTTTTGGTTCTGTTTTGGTTTTTGGGGTTTTTTTGGTTTTGGTGTCAGATTAAAAAAAAATCATTGCTAAGAACATCAACAGATGACTGGATAAAGAAGATGTGATACATATAAACAATAGAATATTAGTCAGCCATGATAAAAGAATAAAATAATGCCATTTGCAGCAGCATGGATGGACCTAGAGATTATATATTAAGTGAGGTAAGTCAGACAAAGATGAATGTCGTATAATACCATTTATATGTGGAATCTTCAAAAAAATACAAATTTTATTTACAAACCAAAATTAGACCTATGGACATGGAAAACAAACTATGGTTACCAAAGGGAAAGGGTAGGGGAGGGATAAATTAGGAGTTTAGTATTAACAGATACACACTACTACATATAAAATAAACAACAAGGTCCTACTGTATAGCACAGGGAACTATATTCAATTTCTTGTAACAACATATAATGGAAAAGAATCTGAAAATATATATGTGTGTATGTATATATATAACTGAATTGCTTTGCTGTACACCTAAAACTAACCTTGTAAATCAACCACACTTCAATAAAAAGTTAAAAAATACACAAGAGAGAGGATTTGAGTGTCAGTGGAGATGGGAGAGGGGGAGTTAACGCCTCCATATTGAGTTTCTTTTTGCACTGAACATACTTCTAGAATATTTTAATTAAGTTAAAATTGCCTTTATAAGCTGCTTTTACCATTTACAACATATAAACATCTCCATTAGTAATGGGAGTACAGTATTCCATTCCAGGGATGTACCAAAAATATTAAATTACCTGCATTATGTTGTTTTTAAATTTTTTAACATTTTTAAAAAACTTGGACAAGTATTCTTTTACATACTTGCATACTTAAATACTAATTTTTAAAAAGTTTTCAACATGGAGATTTTCAAATATATGCAGAAGTAGAGAGCGCTACTGTGACACTGCAGGTGTCTGTCTCACCCACCTTCCACAGTTATCAACGGGGAACATGCCTGGTTCCAGTGATACCTCACTCACTTTCCCCTTCCCAGATTATTTTGAAGCAAATCCCAGAAACAATATTATTTCATCTGTAAATATTTCAGTATATATCACTAAAAGATAAGATTCTTCTTTTAACACATAACCACGATACCATTATTACTCCTAAAATTTTTGAACATCAGTTACTTAGTATTATCAAACAGGCAGTCAGCATTCAAACTTCCAGTTGTCTTTTTTTGTGTGTGTGCAGTTTTTTTTATCAGGATCCAAATAAGATCTGTGTCTCCTGGTTGATATGCCTCTTAATTAGCTTTTTAAAGCAGCTTGGTTGAGGTATTATTTATGTAACATAAAATTCACAAACTTAATTCTCCTTTAAACCATAAGCTCACCTTCCATCTCTTTTTTCCTTGCAGTTTTTTTTTGATGAAGAAAGTGGGTTGTCTGTCTTGTAGTTTTCCCAGCTTCTGGCCTTTACCAAGTGCAGCTCCGTTTGAGTGTCCTTTAGCTGGTGTCCTGTCCTCTGTGTTCCCGTAAATCAGGAGTTAGATTTAGATGCTAGATCAGGTTTAGATTGGAAGCTTTTGGCAAGAGCAGTTCACAAGTGGCAGTGGTGTGTGCTTTCACACTTGCTGTGGATACTTCTTGCCAAGAGCCCAGACAAGGGTGACACAATGGTAATGTTCTAATTCCATCTTTTTTCCTCATTTATTAGCCGAACAACTTTGTAAACAGAAGCCTCCCCTCGTCTACTATCTGGTTACCCAGGACCACAGTTCATGTTGGAAAGGCAGAATATAAATACTTAATTCCTTACTTTTATTTACCAATTTTCAAAATAAAAAGTTGGTCCCTCACGTTCTCCCAAGGTGACCAAAGAGGGTGTTGCCGTCGGTTTTAGTGTCCTTGTGAATTCCTAGATTTCGACATTTTTAAAGTATTTCAATCCAGTGTAATCACTTTATTTTTGTTCAAATTGTCCTTTCTTTGGCCAGTGGAAGCTTCCAGCTCCATCCCAGGTCTTTTTGACTTGACCCTAGAACTCTCTGCTTCCCTGCTACTTGGCTCCAGAAGATACTCAGGCTCATTTCCACCCACTCACCCTAGACTCTAATATGTCATAGACAGAGGAAAGCCCAAGGAAACAGACAAATGAAAAACAAGCCAAAAAAGCGGCACTCAGAACATCTAGGTTTTAAGTCCTGACTCTAACCCGCTGAGATTTCATTTTATTTAGACAGTTGTTAACTCTGATTCTCTCTCTTTTTAATTGTTTCCCTTTGGTGCTGTGAAGATAATTAGAGCAGGAGCAGCAGTGGTGGTAATGACAGTGATGCCAGAGTTTGGGTTTTTGAGAAAATAGGGAATCTGTAGAGGCACTTTGCAGTGGGCTAGGCCTCCTTCAGGCTCCTTGATGCTGTGCTGTGTCCTTTCTTTAAAGTTTCTTTTTGTGTCCTGTTAAATAAAATGCAGCTTCCTGCTGTGCAGAACAGAAGGAGTAGTTCCTCTGCTTTTTCATCAGAAAACTTAAAATTTTTCTGGCAATTTTGCAGTGATTGACATGGCTTGGCCACTTTCACATAGTCCTTCCCCATTATTTTTACGCTAGCTTTGTCCTGAGTACTGAGCTTTCTGTGGCCCCGTGAGCCGTGCCCTCGGCCTGTCCCCTGGCTAGGAGGACCGGGGGCCTCTGCTCTCCCTGACCCCACCTGCTGCGCCTCCTGGGACCATCGAAGCCCCTTCCCACCGTCGTGGGAAGCCTGCCCAGGAGGGGAGGGTGACACCAAGAAGAGGGAGAAAAGCTGAACCCGGACTGGATGCTCGGACCTGCCAGTTAGCCTCAAGGATGAGCCTCGTGGTGGGAGTGGCCTGGGAGTATTCGCTGCTCATGAGTGTCCGTGTTTCTGCAGCAGCAACGTTAACACAACTGACCAGCGTCCCCGAGCCAGGTCTACCTTCAGCACTTCACATCCGCCCCTCCAGGGAGGGGCACAAAATCCTCTCAAAGTAAATGCTGCTCTCCTTCCCTTCTCTTTCAGGTGCGGAGACCCCAAGGCGCGGCCTCGCCCTCGTGGGGCTGCAGGGATGCAGTGGGGTCCTGGCAGGGGGCGGCTCACAGCGGCTTCTCTTGGAGTCCTTGTCAGCACAGCTCAGGGCCAGAGCTCACAAGCGGATCCAGACCCGGCCCCAGTGCTGGGCCTCACCCAGGAGAGTTTGCTGGCTAAAGGGTGCGCTGCCCCAACCAGAGAGGCTGCCTGGAAACACTCGATTTTGTATTTTTTGACATTTAGAAAACACTTATTCTTTCTAGAATATATACTTTATATATACATATATGTGTGTGTGTGTGTGTGTGTGTAAATATAAATACACACGCATATTCAGGTGTCCCCCTTGAAACTGCGACCCACGCACATCAACATTATCCGCCTTGAACAGTTTGGGCACACAGCCACCTGTTTACTAAATCAACAAGCGCAGTTTGTCTCACCCCTTAGGCTTCAGACCTGCTCGGCCCTGTGATGCCCTGGGCCCTCCAGGATTTCAGATCAGCTCGGGGTGCCCTCCCTCCGGGCCCACAGCCTGGCACACGCGCTACTGCAGCGCCTCAGCGCCGACCTCGCTAGTTCCCCAGCACAAAATGCGAAATGCTGGGTGTTGGGTCAGCGCCCACAGGCAGAAATGCCTTTAAGGAGCTCCCAGCCTAGAAGAGGACCTGACAGCCAGCTTTCCCATTGTCCACTGAGTATGAATGCTGTTCATTTATAACCCAACTGAGAAAACGTGGATTTAAAAAAAAACAGAATTACCAAATGTAATGTTTTTCTAAGACGTCATCTATCGAATGAAGTGATTCTGGTTGGATTGGTCTTTCAAGACCTTCCTTTGTGATTAGTTATTTCCTTAAATTTTTTATTTTTTATTAAAATAATGTGTCAATTGCATAAAATTCAGAAGAAGATATCAAGGTGTAAGAAGAGTTTGTAGTTATCCATAAACCTGTCAGGTAGTGATAATCACTGACTATTTTGGTATTTTTCATTCATTTTGTCTGGATACATACATAAATGTATATAAATAAATATGTGCAGATATGGAATGACAGGAATATTTATTTGATAATCTTTTTTTAAACACTCCATCAGTAATTTCCATTACTATAGAAAAATGTAGAACCTCCTTTTTTACATGATACATGACAAACGTCAGATCACTAAATCTTCTATAGCGGAATGTTTCCTAACTGCAGTATTCCTCTCTATGAACATGCCGCCTCTCTGGGATTCTGGAATTGCCTGAGGTTGAAACCTTTCTGATACGGATTTCAGATCTTAAGTGGGACTGTTATTTCAAGGTCCTACACTGTCTTCCAGATCATCTGTGGAAGCTCGTGGGCCATTAAACTACCTGTGTCAGGACCCTTGGGCGCTTGGTGAAATGGCAGATTCTCGAGTTCCCACCTCAGCCTTGCCAAAGATCCTAACGGACATCTCATCAAAGAAGACATGCAGATGGCAAATACGCACGTGAAGACATGCTCACGTCATCTGTCCTCAGGGAGATGCAGATTAAATCAGCAGTGAGGTACAACTACACTCCTAGAATCACCAAAATCTAGAACACTGACATCTCCAAGTGCTGGGGAGGACGTGGAGCGACAGGGACCCTCGCTCTGCTGGTGGGAACGCAAAATGGTGCAGCCACTTGGGAAGACAGTTCGGCAGTTTCTTACCAAATCTAACCCACTCTTACCATACAACCCAGCAGTCAAGCTCCTTGGTATTCACCCAAAGGAGCTGAAAACATATGTCCACACAAAAACCTGCACACAGAAGATGACAGCAGTTTTACTCATAAAATCTCCAAAAATTGGAAGCAACCAAGACGTCCTTCAGTAAGAAACTATGCTACATCCAGAAAATGGAATATAATTCAGTGCTCAAAGGGAAAGGGCTGTCAAGCCATGAAAAAACATGGAGGAAACTTAAATGTAATTATGAAGTGAAGGAAGCCAGTCTGAGAATCATAGTGTATGATGCCAACTATATTACATTCTGGAAAAGACAAAGCTATGAAGACAATAAAAAGATCGAGGTGGGGGGAGGGGGTGGTGAACAGGAAGAGCACAGGATTTGCAGGGCAGTGAAAATACCCTGTGTGAGACTATAAGGATGGATACGTGTCCGTACACATTTGCCCAAACCCACAGAATGTGCAGCCCCGGGAGTGAACCCTGATACAAACCACAGGCTGGGTGATGATCACGTGTCCATGTGGGCCGTCAGCTGTGACAGGGGTACCTCTGGTGACGGGCAAGGCTGTGCCTGTGCAGGGAAGGGTAAGGGGCACATGAGGAATCTCTGTACCTTTCTCTCAGTTTTCCTGTGAACCCCAGCCTGGTAAGATAGCACCATGTTTGGGGGCCCCTTCTCAGAGGGCCAGCCCCAGCCAGGCCCCCAGGTGGTGGTCAGAGCACTGCATTTGGAAACCACCAAGCGACAGACCTGACTGGCTGACAGTTGGACTGACCTTGGGCACCTTCGTTTTCTTGTGGCTCGATCTCAAACAACATAATGAAGAGGTTTTAGAGTAAAAAAGAAGAAATGTGTTGGAATAACATTTCAAATACTAATACAGCATGTTCCATATAACGATTAAAACAGCCCCTCTGGGTTCACCCATCTGTTGAGTTGTAAACATGAGAGGAAGACTTACAGGTGAGTATATACCAAGTCAGATTGTGTTCTACATAATTAAATGGGAAAAAAATAATCAAAAAAAAATCTTCAGAAAGGAAGAAGAATGTATTGCCTGAAGGAGGAATTAGCCTAAGCGTGGGGTAACAGTGTAATTATGGAGGGAGTTTATCCAATTTCTCACACCCAGCACTGCCGGCCACCCCTAGAACGGGGGAAGACGCTAAGAGTTCTGGGAGGCGGCCTGGGGAGGGGAGAGGGCACCAGAGTTTAAATACTTCAGTGCAGCCTGTGTGATATGGCCTGTGTGCCCATTGGCAAAAATTTAATTCTGAGAACGTCCAGCCAACAGCCTGCTCCCAGCACTGACATACAGCTCAGTGACCAAAGGAACAAAAGAGCACCCAGGTCAGGTCAGCCACGTGTGCTGGGGGAGCTGGGCCACAACGTGTGGTCCATCTCTATGATGTTCCGGGAGCAGTGAGCTGTCAGGGTAGGAAACAGATCGGTGGTTGCCCAGGGCTGGAAGTGACTGCGAAGGGCCTTGGTGGACGTTGTGTATTGAGGGGAAAGTTCTATATCTTGATTGTGGTGCCCAGCTGCAGATGTTTTTCTAAACTAGAACTACATGCCAAGAGGAGGAGATTTCACCATAGACAAAGTGCTCTTCAGTAAACTTCAAAAGATGGCCCAGTCCACATTGTGCTGTGAATTTCACTTCAATAAATCCATGTTGGAATATCGATCTAGTTGACAGTGTGCCTTTGGGAGGGTTTAGGGGTGACTATGGGCTGAGGCCTCTGAAATGCATCCAAGAGGAGCTGGAGGGAGGGAGGTGGGACTAAGTACATGCAGAGCATTTAGCAGTGGGGCCAAGGTCTGTGGTTCTCAAAGTGATGTCCAGGAGCCAGCAGCATCAGCCTTGCCTGGAAACACGTTGGAAATGCACATTCTCAGGCCAGAAGCGTGTGTTTTAGTAAGCCTTGGAGGTGTTCTACTGCAGGCAAGAACCTGAGAATGGCTGATAAGATGCTGGGTTTTGGTGTTCGTTTTATGGTTCTTTCAAGTTCTCTGTGTGCTTGAGAATCTTCGTGATAAAATGTGGGGGCAGAGAATGTGGAAGTCTGGGAGGGGGCACCCAGTGCTGCCTCGAGGGAACCCCCCTTCTCTCGTAAGCATACTGGCTATCAAAAGTGGGGTCTTATGGGTGAGAGTAGTGTCCTGTTATTTAGCGTGCTGACTAACAATAAAGGCCATAACCAGGCTCCTGCTGGGGAAGTGAAGGGTATTTAAGTGGGGACGGGTCAAATTGCAAGAGCAGGTGTCAGATCTGGAGGCCTGTGGCCTGTGTCCACAGGTTGGGCCTGGGTGTGCAGGCCTCTGGGGGCTCAGCCTTCAAGTCTCAGGAATGTTGCATCTGCCGGGTAGACGGGTGGACTTACGCGCAGAGCAGCTGAAGGGTCGAGGTCTGGAACTTCCTTGAGCTTCCACCAGAACAGGTTGTATGAGCTGTTCTGTGCTCGCCTTGCCAGTAGATGTCTGATAGTCACCTGTTTGTATCTGCATCCGGCCTGAGACTGGCTCTCACCTTAACCCCGTAGTGAGGTTGTTAACTCAGACCCCTTCAGAGTCTGCAGCAGCTTCCGTCTCCTCCCAAAAGGAACAGAGGAACTGTGCGTGGTCAGATTAACTCCAGGCAGTTACAACAGCGGGGACAGAGAACCTGGTATCCAGATGGTCTGGGAAAATTCATGTGGTTGCCTTCCTGTCTGCCGTCACGTACTTGAAAAATTCCTCCTTAAGTGTTCATTGCAGAAGTACCTGGCTTCTAGACTTTCTTCGATTCCTGGTTGGGCTTCGTTACAGCCCTCTTTTGTTAGCTGGCCTTCTCCTTTGTCCCAAAAGTTTGAAAAATATTTACTAATTACCCCAGAAAATTCATTCCACGTGGAAGGAACTCTAATGACGTGACGTGTGTTGCGATCACCCCTAACGTTTAATGCACATTAAGCCTTTGACTAGGCTGGCCCTTCAGGTAGGGGATACTAGTCCAGGGCTCTTAGTCGAGGGTCACAGATCCCAAATGTCTGTCTAGAACGCGAGAGACTTGTGAACTTGGATGGGGAGAAGTTACATCTGTATTTTCTCCAACTTCAAACTGAAACTTCGCATTTCCTTCCGTTACGGATACAGGAGCAGTGTACAGGCAGGTGAGCAGTTTTACATGATGGTTGTAGATGTCCTTGAAAGACCATTGTGGTCATCACCGCCTCAGATCTATGGAAGCTGTTAGATCTGCCGACAGATCTTAATGCATGAATAAAACACTGCTATATCACCAGATTTTTTAAATATTGGATCATTGTATTTCAGTAAAACTGGTTTCCTTTGGAATCGTGTGTAATTTTATGCATTAGAAAATATTCTGAGAAGGCGTCCACTGGCTCCCCCAGACTGTTAAAGAGGGTCCTGGCTCAAAAAAGATGGAAAAGGCCCTGCTTAGCCAGATTGAGATATTCCACTGAAATTTATTTCTGAAACATGTAAGGGTTGGAACCCCCCACCTTCCCCACCCTTGGGGCTCTGCTAACTGGACTTCAACAATTATTCTGGACTCAGAGGAGCTGGATGGATGGGGGTGCCAAAGTTGAGGGTGGTGGAAGCAATATCCGCATAAGAACCAGCCCTGGAGGAAGAGGAGGCACCTGCCTCCAACATTCTCCATCCTCCCATCCGGGCCTGCAGTGTGGCTGGTGTATCATCATTATGGTGACAGCTTTGCTATTAAAAATAATCTTCAAATTCCTCACTGTTGGTGTGGGCCTCAGTATTGTCAGTGACACCGAAATAAAAGGAGATTTAATGCAGATGTACTGCATAGTTTTCAGTGGAGCTCAACCTTGGTCCATTGTACAGAAATGCATGAAACGGCCCCCACTTCGCCCGCGGTGAAGCCCACCAGAAGCTGTTCCAAGCTCAAGATGGTGGTTCCAGGAGGAGGAGGGGGGGTCCCTGTTGACTCCCTGGAGACGTGGAGATGGGCGGCGCTCGCTGGCAGACACGCTCGGCCTTGTGTCGCTGGATCCCAGTCCACGTGGCGGCTTGTACCCGGGGTGCTAGGTCTGGACTGGGAACCAGCTTTAGCCATTTACTAACCGTGAGACGAGACTTTGGGCAAATAGGTCAGAGTCTCATTTTCCTCTCTGTGAAATGATCAGTGTCCATTTTGGTCACTTGAGAATGTTAATCTCACTAATTTACCGCTCGACTCGACCACTGCCACCAAAAAAAGGCTGTGAAGCCAGGCAGAAACGGCTGAGCCTGTTTGTAAACCAGCTTTCCCCCTGTTAACGCCTTTCCTATCCAGTGCCACGTGGGTGAGAATTAATTCATTAAACCAAAT